CCCCCCGGCTCATATCTGCTGTCCACAAGGCCCCCATGTGGCCGCCATCTTTCTTTCCAGAGGGAGGAGGGCGGAAGGGAGCAACACCCTTTCCCCTCTGGGCAGAAATGATTGCCTGGATTAATGCATAATCCTTTCACTTTTCTGCTCCAAGCTGCTGGGTTCTGCATTAAGCCCTTGTGCTTCTGGGGCTGTGGCCGTGCTGGAGAGCCGTTCGTGGGGGGCAACTGGTGACCTCGGTAGGGCGTGAAGGACGGACCAGAACGCCCCCCTTCCCATGAGGTTTTAGTCGCCCCCACACCCCCGGCTCATATCTGCTGTCCACAAGGCCCCCATGTGGCCGCCATCTTTCTTTCCAGAGGGAGGAGGGCGGAAGGGAGCAACACCCTTTTCCCTCTGGGCAGAAATGATTGCCTGGATTAATGCATAATCCTTTCACTTTTCTGCTCCAAGCTGCTGGGTTCTGCATTAAGCCCTTGTGCTTCTGGGGCTGTGGCCGTGCTGGAGAGCCGTTCGTGGGGGGCAACTGGTGACCTCGGTAGGGCGTGAAGGACGGACCAGAACGCCCCCCTTCCCATGAGGTTTTAGTCGCCCCCACACTCCCGGCTCATACCTGCTGTCCACAAGGCTCCCATGTGGCCGCCATCTTTCTTTCCAGAGAGGAGAGGGCGAGTGGGCAACACCCTTTCCCCTCCAGCAGACTTGATGGGCTGGATCAACGCATAGTCCGTTCACTTTTCTGCTCCAAGCTGCTGGGTTCTGCATTAAGTCCTTGTGCTTCTGGGGCCGTGGCCGTGCTGGAGAGCCGCTCGTGAGGGGTGACTGGTGACCTCGGTAGGGCGTGAAGGACGGACTGGAACGCCCCCCTTCCCATGAGGTTTTAGTCGCCCCCACACCCCCGGCTCATACCTGCTGTCCACAAGGCTCCCATGCGGCCACCATCCTTCTTTCCAGAGAAGAGAGGGCGAATGGGGCAACACCCTTTCCCCTCCAGCAGACTTGATGGGCTGGATCAACGCATAGTCCGTTCACTTTTCTGCTCCAAGCTGCTGGGTTCTGCATTAAGTCCTTGTGCTTCTGGGGCCGTGGCCGTGCTGGAGAGCCGCTCGTGAGGGGTGACTGGTGACCTCGGTAGGGCGTGAAGGACGGACTGGAACGCCCCCCTTCCCATGAGGTTTTAGTCGCTCCCACACCCCCGGCTCATACCTGCTGTCCACAAGGCTCCCATGCGGCCGCCATCCTTCTTTCCAGAGAAGAGAGGGCGAATGGGGCAACACCCTTTTCCCCTCTGGGCAGAAATGATGGCCTGGGTTAACGCATCGTCCGTTCACTTTTCTGCTCTAAGCTGCTGGTTTCTGCATTAAGTCCTTGTGTTTCTGGGGCTGTGGCCATGCTCCAAACTTAACTCTGATTTTCAGGGAGAAAGATTGGGTGGTTTACTTCTCATTGATCACTTTGTATATAGAGAGATGTCGCGCGGCCGCGTAAGCGGCCGCGCGGTTTTGAGACAAAGTCCTCGTTCCCGCATACTCGAGCTGTGTTTGTAGAGGCTTCTGGTCACCAGGGTTCCATCTGGGGGAGGCGGGATGCGGCGCCTACTCCATCTGGAACTTCCCGGTGCTCTCGGCTCTTTTTGGAACCTGTTTTTTCTTTTTTCTTTTCCTCCGGGATCCCGCACCCTCCATGTCTTCCTTCTCTTATTCTGAACGTTTCAAAGATGGCGCTGGGGGGCGGGCTGTGGGCATGACTTCCGGGATCAGAGGTTACCTGGGAGGTGTAGTCCGGCAGATTTGAGAAAAAGTCCTCGTTCCCGCATACTCGAGCTGTGTTTGTAGAGGCTTCTGGTCACCAGGGTTCCATCTGGGGGAGGCGGGATGCGGCGCCTACTCCATCTGGAACTTCCCGGTGCTCTCGGCTCTTTTTGGAACCTGTTTTTTCTTTTTTCTTTTCCTCCGGGATCCCGCACCCTCCATGTCTTCCTTCTCTTATTCTGAACGTTTCAAAGATGGCCGACAAATGTTTTAAATACAGTCTCAGCAACAGATTTTAATTGACTTAATTGACTTATTTGTGTTTTATTACCCTGAGAATGCATTTGTGGAGATAATGATTTACTCACCGCTCATCTGATAAGGGGTTCATATCCAAGATAGATATAGCACTAGTCGAATCTTTCAATACAAAAACAACCAGTGCTATCCAAAAATGAGGGCAAGAGATAAATAGAAACCTGCTCAAAGAAGACATAGAGATGGCCAAGAGGTATATGAAAAAATTTCTCTGAATCACTTACTATTAGAGAAATGCAATTGAGATATTATGTCACACTAGTGAGACTAACACACAACACAAAGAACAAAAACAACCAGTGTTGGAGTGGATGTGGGGAAAACGGGACCCTCATTTACAGCTGGTGAGAATGCCAACTGGTCCAGCCTTTCGAAAAAAACAATATGGACACAGCTCAAAAAACTAGGCATTGAGCTTCTCTAGGACCCAACAATACTGCTTCTTGACATCTACATAAAGGGCCCCAAAACTCCACTCAGAAAAGACGTTTGCATTCCTATATTGATTGCAGCACTATTTGCAATAGCCAAGGTCTAAAAACAACCGAAATTTACAAGAATAAGTGAGTGGGTGAAGAAGTGCTGGTGCCTATACACAGTGCACACAACGCACAGTACTTGACCTACAAAGAATGAAACCGTGCGACTTGCTCCTACAGGGGTAGATGCTGAGTGCAGGAAGCCAGAAGGAGAGGACCAGGCTCAGAACTGTCCCTTCCACGTGTGGGATATGAAGCACCAGAGTATGAATGACCTCATCCTGCCTTTGTCCTTATTCTGGCTTACTTCATTTAACATGTTTTCCAGTTCTGTCCATGTTATAGCGAATTGTATGATTTCGTCATTCCTTACAGATGCATAGTATTCCATGATGTATAGATACCAACCACAATTTCATGATCAACTGACCTGTTGTTGGATGTCTAGGTTGATTCCAAATCTCAGCTGCAATAAATAATAGGACATATGCGTTCTGAATACTTCAATGAATAAGGGTATGCATACGTGTTTTGAATGAATGTTTTTCTGTCTATGCCAAACACAGTAACAACAAGGCTCACAATGGAGATGTTACTCGGCCTGCTTGAGCAAATCGATGAACAACGGGAGGACAGTGACAGTGGCAGTGGTATTTAGAGTAACTGGTGAAGAAATGCAATGGTTAAAACAGTAGGAATACCTGGATCATCTTCCACCCAGAATGTAGGGAGGAGAAGAGATAGAGTGAAGGGGAAAGGGAGTAGAGAGAGAGGAGAGGCAAACAGGAGTCAAGAAAACCCAGGTGAATTGGCGATGTTAAGGAATGATAGAGCTGAATATCCAAACTGCACAGTCAACAACACCGAAATCATGAGACCCAAACTTCAATAAACAAATTTCAAAGGTGCCTGTCAAGGTGGCAGACTGGAGCTGCAGGGGTGAGTAGGAGAGGGAATCAGGAGACACTGGTGGTGGGACTGGTGATGGAACATTGTATTTCAAAACCCCAACTGTGACTGACTTTGCAACTCACGGCGCTTTAATAAAATAGAACTTTGAAGAGAAAAATATGAAGAATCAGAACAGGAGAATAACAAATGCCCAAAGGCAAAAGAACCTCAGAACTGGTCTTGGGCAGGAAGCTTGCCACAGGGCGGGGAGAAGGGAGGGACGTGGGTGGAGGGAGCAGTGCTGAATGTTTCATGTATAAAATTACCAATAAAAGTTTGCAAGCCAAGATGCCTGAAATAAAATTTTTATACATGAATTTGTGATGACAGAGCTCGAGCTGGGTTTAAGGTGGTCCCCAACACTGCATGTCGATCCCTAAGTACCACCGCTACGCCCTTTGAGCACAGAGAGAGGAGTTGCCACTGAAAACTGCTCAAAAGTCTCCCAAAATTTTCTAAAAATATTTTTCCAGCATGTTAGATATCTGTATTTATTTATTTATTTATGCCCCCCCAGCAGTGCTCAGAGGGTCCAGGGGTCACTTTTGGCCATAGTCGTCCAACCAGGATGGAGGGTTCAATGTCTAGGGCTGGTGGAAGCCCGGATATCCAGGATACAGCTTGTCTGGGGGTCATGCAGAGACAGGGATCAATCACGCATACAATTCTTGCACTCCAGAGTCCTGCTATCTCCCTGGCCCCTGCATATGGGTTTGCCCCATTTCAATCAGATTTAACATTTTTACACACGATGGGCTTTGTCTAGATCCAGTTCTGGATCTAGAAGGCCCCTCCAGGAGAACGATCCTCTAGCTTCTCTGTCTGGCAAACTATTTCTGGAACCAAGGGGGTTTTCCACTAAAACTAAGAACATTTGCGTCACATGGGCTTCTTCTGATGAGATCACATTTCTTGAACTTGAACGAAATGCCCCGCTCTGTACTAAGAGCTTCGCATGTTTCCAAGCCTCCAGCAGCCCCTGTCCAAGAGGTTATTGTGTCCATTTTCCAGATGAGGACACGGAGGCTGAGAGCACTAAGCTTAGCTCACCCCCGGGAAACATCCAGCAAACCTCATGCACAGGCTTGTTTGTTAAAATTGTTTGATTTCACAAATGAGGCTTTGAAGTGCAAAATAAAATTTTCCTTAATGCTCATCAGTCAATGCTACAATAAATGCAACAGTTTGTATTTTTATTCTTTTAAAAAAAATGCAATCAGACAAAAAGATCCTAACGTGTTGGGAGCTGCAGGAGCATCAGAGAGATAAGAAGAAGCCCACCCACTTCCAGGAGAGAGGGGTAAGTGTAAGAGAGTCTCTCTGAAAAGTCCCCCAAAGCCCCAAACAGGAACTGAAAGGAGATCGAATCAAGCATCTTGGACCTCAAGTCCACATTGTGCCTTTTCTGCCCACAACAAATTTAAGAAACATTTGTTCTCACTGACTTCGCTTTCTCAGCTGGTGATGTCTCTACACAACAAACAATAGAAATGCGACTTACTTGTCTACTGCAATAAGCTTCTTCTGCAAAGAGTCAGAGGCGTAGCTCCAAACGTCTTCAGTAATTGCAAGATAATAATGTTTCGTTTTTGCCCAGGCGGAGGAACTGGAGAAAAACAGAAAAACAGCCAGCAACAGAATCTTCATTGTTTCCCCCCTGGAAGAGCCAGCGACCCAATGAACTGAAACCAGGAGCCGTCCATTTTATAAATGAGGCTTTCTTCCTTTATTTGCTTGATTGACACAATTTAATGTTGCACAAGACAAAATGATTTTGTTAAGCAAATAGCATTTTCCACTTCAGTACAGTTCTCGTAAACCAGGACGGAAAAAAAAGTTCTTCATTGCCAGACTTCTGTGATCACCAATAAAATGTCAACAGTTATTGTTGGAGGCGGGAGACTGCATAACTCCGCTTTCCCTCATTCATTGTGCAAATTCCAGGAAGGCGGGAGTCGTCGCTCAAAGCTCCCTTTGTTTCCCCGGCAATAAGCGCAATAAGCCGTAGGATGCCCTCCACACAGCACACTTAAATCAAAGCATGCAGAAGAGATCCAGACCGCCGCCTCATTATTTCTAAAAGGTCTAGCAACAAGTTGCTGCACTTTTAAGATACAGATTTAAATATCCTCCCATAGAAGAATTTTATCTGGAAGGATCTATCTAATTTGCAAGCCCTGAACACATCTGAGCTTACCAGAAAGTTTTCTGGACTCTTTCGTGTGTTGCTGTGTACAGATGAGCCCAGCAATAATGCTGATTGATAACTCTATTTTAATCATCAAAGTCTGACCTGTTGATGAAGACAAATGTTGGGCTGAGTACACAGAAACCTAGTTTATTGACTCAGTTGACTAATTCTCTCTTTGATGTGAATGTGAGGGTGAAAAAAATCTCTTTATTGAAACCCTATCCTGAGGAACAGAGCAGATAGTATATTTTATTTTTGTCCAGTAGAATATAAAGAGGGGTCGACACAACAGGCAGATGAAAAGATTTTCACTATCTCTTATTATTAGAGAAATGCAAATCAAAACAGCAGGATTAGAGAGATAGTACCAGGGTTAAGGCTATTGTCTTGCATGCAGCCAACCCCCAGTTCCATCAGCAAGGCTAGGAATGATTTTTGAGTACAGCCTTAGGAGTAAGCTTTAAGCACCTCGGACTGTGGCCCCAAACTCACTCCCTCCACTGACCCAAAATAGCAAAGAGTGATCACTTCACACATGTGAGAATAGCAACCCCAAAGACATGAAAAGGATGGAGTGGGTACAGAGAGGATGGAGGAATCCTATTGCACGTTCAGTGGGATTGTGTACGGTGCAGTCACTAAAGAAAGCAGGATGGAAAGTCCTCAAGAAATTATAACAAGAACTTCTATCTGATTGCATCATCCTACTTCTTGGGATTTTTCTGAAGAAAACAAAAATGTGAATTCGAAGAGACAGATGCATCCCTTGTGTACTGCAGCAATATTTTTCAATAGCCGAGAACTAGAAACATCAGAGTGTTCATTGACTGATAAAATGGATATTGAAGAATTTTAGTATTACTTGTCAGCTATATATATATACAGCTGGCTAATACATATATTCATATATATTAGTTTATATATATTCTTTGTATCTATAGATATTCTTTGTGTGTGTGTGTGTGTGTGTGTGTGTGTACACAAAGAAACCCCGTCATTTGCAACAGCATTGATGGATTGTGTTTGGTGAAATAAGCCAGATGGAGAGAGACAAATATTGCTCAATTTCGCTCTTAAAGCAGTTTGCAGAGAAACCAAGTTATCAGATGAACTAAATGAACGAAAATGAGCATCTGGTCTACAGGACCATTAACTGGTAAGGACCCGAGGAGAAAAGAGAGAGGTAGGAAATCAGGTAGAAGGGGACACGGGGACGGCTAAAGGTAGAATTAGACTTTCAGTAGTGAATTTAATGTGGCCAAAGACACATGCTGAGTCTTCTAGTTTATTGAGGTAACATTGAGGTAACATTACAAGATTGCAAATGTTGACATGCCTTAGGGATAAGATGAGACTGCAGACATCCCCCACCAAATGCAATATCCTTCACCTGGTCCACCCAGCCCTCTCAGCCTCCCTCCCTTCCCCGTTTGGTAACCTCAGTCTCTGGCCAGAGTCTTAAGTGGTTGATGTTTAATGATGCTTAGCAGAAACATATAATGTATGATTCACTTACTTCAATATCAATTTAATTAGGAAAAATGAAATCTCCTATCTTTGTTCATGTCATATCTTTCACTTGATTACTTGACTTCCCGTTAATCGTTGATTTGCTCGAGCAGGCACCAGTAATGTCTCCATTCATCCCTGTCAAGTGCTAGTGTAGCTCAATGGCGTTTGTTCGTTCTAGGAACACAAAGAGCCTCAAACCAGTCGTTCAGGGTCTTGACGAAGAAGTCTGACCATCTTGTAGGTGGGCGGTCATGCAGTCTTTTGACTTCCCGTGGAATCCAGTCGGTAACGGCTCTAGTTCATATCTGTAGTTGAAAAAAATCATGACTAAAATGGCGTGCATTTGTACTAATGTCTTTTTTCCTCTCGAATGCCTCCATGCCTTAGATAAGTATAGGCAAAAAATTGTTTGTGGGAACAGACTGGTCTGGGATAAAACAACCTGATGCTTAAATGACTACTTCATTTAACAGGTATTATTCGATATGCCAGAGACAGTAACAACAAAGTCTCCAATGGAGACGTTACTGGGCCTGCTCGAGCAAATTGATGATCAGCGGGAGGGCCTTTACCTTACCCTTATTTGAGTGAGTGAGCCCCAAACACTGGTTTAAGCACTGATTTGTCCACAGTGAATCCTACCTCCTACCCTCACCAACTTCCATTCTGTTTGGGAGAGACATCAAGTGACGCAGGTGATATTGGGGGGAAAAATCAAGAAAAACAAGGAAAGGAGAATTTTAGGTATCAGGGAAAAAAAGAACAGAACAATAACTTTAAGGAAGTTAATGACCCACAGCCCGGCCTGTTTTGTCATATGTAACATCTTGACCTCTGAGGGCAGAGCTGAACTGAATTCTTCAGATTGAATGAAGTTCAGAGAAGAGCTTCCTGCTCCAGCTAGCAAGAATCTGAACTGTTTGGTTACAGAACATGAAGTCATAGGCCTAAGGTGTCCTCTAGGACAAATGCATATTATTTGTGCCCTCAGGTCTACTGAGGGACGAGAATGAGGCCAACATCTTGGCCAGACGCCACCCACCAGGCTTCACCTTGCAAGCTGTTGTTCCTGTCAAAAATGGTTCCATTTTCTCCAGTGGCCCACACAAGTGGGGCATCCTTCAGTACTTCGCTCTCCCTGAGGAGGGGAGATTTTTTTTCTGACTGGTAGAAAGACAGTATGTGAAACAAGAAGTTTCCCAGGTGAGTCCTTGTTCTCCACGGATGCCTGATGGGTCCTGAAACTGTGGGAGGACTCTGACCCCGTGTGGGAAGTTCAAAGTGGACCTTCAGAACTGAGCCTATCTGGTGGGAAATATGCACCCACGAAGAGACAAGGGACGGCTGTTGGAACATTATGTAACTGAAACCTGATATGAACAACCTTGTAACTGCGTATCTCACTGATTTCAGTGAGAAAATTTTTAAAAAATGAAGAACTGAGCCTATCATGGTGAGGAGAGGGTAGGTTTGGGTGGAGAAGACAGTCTGTGGAGGGTGGAAATTGGAACTTGGTATATATGAAACGCTGTCATGAACACAATTGTAAATCATGGTGTCTAAATTTTTTTTTAAAGGGAGTGGGGAAGCACTTCAAAGTGAACTCACATTGACTAACATTGCTGTGGGAAACTTCTGCGCTCAAGAGAGATGGGACCCATGTGAGCGTCGCCTGAAGGAGAAGACAGGAGTCAGATAGGATCAAACAAACTTCCCTCTCAGTTCTCTTTGAAGAAATGTTCTCACTCCAGGAGGCCAGGGTGTGCCTTGGTAGTTACTTATAAAGAATTATGAAGTTAATCTGATTTGAGTTGCCTGGCTCAAGTTCTAACAGTTTTCCCCAGTTTTTCTGGTTGTGCTAAAGGTCTCTAGACAAGGAGACTTTGCCTTCAGCAACGAAGATGAGTGGGTTGCTTGGTGTTGGTTAACGTCCAGGAAGCAGCCTTCTCCAGAGACGTCTCTTCAGCATTCTTTCTGACAGGAAGATCCTCTTCTCTCTCTCTCTCTCTCTCTCTCCTTCCCTCTCCCTCGTCAACTCCCTCTCCTTCTCCCTCTGGTCCTGTCTGTTTCTTACTGATAAGAAAGAAAGTTCTGACCCATAAACTGGCTTTGTATCTCTGCTTGGGCCACAGGATTATTCACAAATGGGCCAGTAAGGCCTGTGCTAGGCTGTACCGCAGGGAGAGGCTACAAGTATCAAATAGTAGGTCATTTTGGCTGTGAGCACCTTGGGGATATTTTTTTCCTCACAGGAAATTGTGTAACTCTGGGGTTTTGTCGGCAATTGTGACCATGGGATGAACTTTGACTCCAAGTTCAATGACTGGATCTGGCCCAGCCTTCTTTGCTCTTCTGGTCAGCAGCTGGTGAGGAGCTGGTCAAGGTGTGCGCATTCTCCTGGCATGGTAGGGGGAGGGGTGGCGTCACAGCAGGGCAAGATAAGGCCCCAAATCCAGTCTACTGAAAACCTGGAATGTGTTGGCAACTACCAGCTTTATGGAAGACTTCGTTATTATTGTCATTGTTGACAGAAGATTTAAATTACTTCTTCGTGTCTTTCCTCTCATGACCTTGAGAGAAGTTGTTTTGGGGCCATACTCCGTGGTGCTCAGGGGTTCCTCCTGGCTCTGTGCTCAGGGGTCACTACTGGAAGGTTCCAGGGACCAAGTAGGGTGCTGGGGACAGAACCCAGGTGAGTCACATTCAAGGCAAGTGTGCAGCGCACTGTGCTATCTCTCCAGTATTGCCTAAAAGAAGTTTAAGCATATGATTTGTTGACAGGGAGAGGGGACCAACGTGCTTTAGAATGATGATGTTGGGACCCCAGGCTTAGAGGTGCAAGAGATTGACTTTGAGCTCCCACGATGCATGAGCTCCAGCCCTTGGAGCCATCTCCTGGGCTTGCTCGAATTCTTTTTGCAACAACAACAACAACAACAACAATAATAATAATGACAAGTTAATAACAAGGTTGGATCTCACAGAACTTTCATGGGGGACTTGTTACTTTCTCTTGCCCTCTCTGAGCTCTTTCCTCTTGCTTCTGAAACAAGAGTAATGCTTTAGTTCTCGAAAGCATTATTTTAATACTGTACTTCAGTACTTTGGTATGCTTTTAGTACTTGCCTTAGTAGCAAGTTAGTAGCAAGAGTACTAAAAGTACTCTACTGTGTTAGAGTAACACTGTTTTTGATAGTTTTGTTTCTTATGCCAGAGTCTTCATTTGTAAAGAGGACTTTGCAATGACACAGAAGCCACTAAGAGGCAGATTTTGTAACATCCGGCTCTGTTTGATAAGGAGGCACACCTGTCATGTTAGGCCACCTGGGGCCATGAAATGCTGGCCCAGAGGTAGGAATGGTAACCAACATTGCCCCAGCTTTTATGGGGGCTTCTCTGGAAACGGCCAAGCTGGCAGAGGAGACTCTAGGATTGTCTCATTAAGTCAGGGCAAGCGCTTCTCTGTGTGTGGTACGTGACTCTGGCAGCTGGAGTTGGGTGTGAGGGTTGCAGGAAGGAGGCCGTGGGGAAATGGCTCAGTCCTGGGTGGTTTGTAGAGGAGCGTCTTGCACACCCACACGGTGCTCACTACCTCCAGGAGTCAACTCCGAGGGCAGGAAACGCTGGGCTAGCCTGAATCAAAAGCAGAATCAATAAAGGTTCACGTGGCTGTGTCTTCCTTGGAGGGAGCCTCCAAAGGGCAGAAGACAACAGCGTGCTTTGTACTGCATTCCAGCCATTCACCATGGTGCTTACAGAAGGTGTAAAACTAATTAGAAGAATCTGGGCTGGAGTGATAGCAAAACAGCAGATGGGGCGTTGCCTTTTCGGTTCCCAGCATCCCATATGGTCCCCTGAGCACTGCCAGGAGTAATTCCTGAGCGCAGAGCCAGGAGTAACCCCTGTGCATTGCGGGGTGTGACACAAAAAGAAAAAAATCGAAGAATGAGTACTTTTTGTTTTTATTTGGGGGCCACACCACCATCAGAGTATACTTCTGGCTCTGTACTCGGGGGTCACTCCTCACAGTACTCAGGGAACCAGGGCTGGTACCAACGATCAAGTTGGAGCAGTTCTTGTGCACGGCAAGTGGCTTGACCCCTCTCCCATCTCTTGGCTTGAATTTCACTTTAAGAAAATATTTGCAAATATCGGTGTCAGAGAGATAGCACAGCAGGTAGGTACTGGCCTTGAATATAGTGGACCTCGGTTCAATCCCCAGCACCTTAAAGGCTCCCCCCAAAGCACTTCAGGTATTATCCCTGTTCAAAGAACCAGGAGCAAGCCCTGAGCATTGCAGGATGAAGCCCAAAAGTGAAACGAAAAAGATGTGCAAATAGTATGGTTTACAGTAAAACCTTTGCATACTCTTTCTTTTTTTTCCTATTTTTTTTTTTTTTTTTGCAATGCCCCTGTCCTCCTCAGTTACTGCTCCCACTCCAACCCCAGGCCATTTGTTTGGTAAAGGCTGTGCCACACCCGGACAGAATCCAGTGCAGAGAGACGCCTTTCAGACAAAAAGCTGCTCACACAAGTTTAACAAGAAAATATTTATGTAAGTGAGTTTTCTGGTTACATTAGCCAACCCCTGATAGATGCTTTCATTCCTGGAGTTTTTCTTCTTTGGGGCTTTTCCTTCTGTTTATGGATCTTCCAGGACTCATATCAGGAAGAAATATTTATGCTGCAGAGAAGGTCTCATGATGCTCTGTGGGAAAACCAAACCCAAAGGGTTACAAACCTTTAAGGAAAAATAATAATATATCTATGCAAGTCTTTCTTCTGGTTGTTTTGGATGTTTAAGCCACATCTGTGTTGCTCATGGATTACTTCTGACAGTACCCAGGGAATGGATCCTGGGTCCGCTGCATGCAAGGTAGTTGCTTTAATCTTTCCACTGTTCTCTGGCTCCTGTAAGTCTTAAGAACATCCTTAGCACAAATCCCATTACTTTGGGGCTTTGGACGCAGACTGACGTGAGGTGGAACCAATCCCTGGCCGGAGGCGGGCTCTGACAGCTCAGGACAGAAGAGATGGGGCCCCCAGACTTCCTGGTATGTGGCTGCTCTGTCTCACTACTTTTGCAACTTATTATTCATTTAACATCTAAAGTTACATAACTTCTAACTAATTCACTTCATTAACCCAATAGCAACATCACTGTCACTCTCTCATATGGACAGAAAACAGGTTGATGTGACCAAATTTGGCTTGGTGTTATTTGGAAAGAGAAACCTAGTTTCCCAAACGAATAATGTTACAGGTTAATTTCTCAGACAGCCAAATTCCTTTTACTAAAGATAAATGTAGGCAATAAAAAGAATGAGAGTAATTATACTATAATTGCATTAGTTGTCAACTACATCGGCCTTGCTATTATTAGCAAAGTCTAGGTAAAATTTAAGTTTTGAACTAGTCGGTTTATATTTTGGGGAAGAACTATAGTCTTTATTTGTAGTCAGAGAAGTTTCCAAGTGAATAGTCCAGACTAAGCTCCTCCCTTTCCTTCAGTTATTTTATCCCAAGAAGGAATCAGCCAAGAGCACAGTGTGGGTTAAAATAACGCGCGAAACTATGTTCAACAACTTCTCTGATATTAACTTGGTCTGAGAGTCATCCCCGCCAGTGCCCAGGGCTCATTCTGGCCTGAGCTCATTCACTCTCCACAGGAACCATGCCTGGGAGTTCCCAGGTAGCCCCACACAGTGCGGGGAATTGAACCCAGGTGTGTTGCAAGCAAGGCAAGTGCTTTCCTTTCTGTGCGGTCTCTCCAGTCCCAGAATCCTTATTCTGAGGAAGAGCTATGGAGCATGTGTTCTGCTAAAGTATATATAATGCAACCACCTCGCCATCCTGTTACTGATATTATTGATGTTATCAATAAAACATCTTCTTTGGGTGCTTTGCCATCCCCAAAGTGCTCAGACTTCAGCTTTGTGGTCAGGATCGACACCTGGTGCCACTATGTAGTGCTTGGGGTCAAATGGGGTCAGCTGCATGTAAGACAAGTGCCTTAATTCCTGTACTATCTTTCTAGACTCCCGTGAAGAAGTATTTGCCAAATTTATAACATTTTCGTTTAAGAAAGCATCTGACCTTTTTTTCTCCTGAGATAGGACTTTTTTTCTCCTAAACAAAAAGTTTGTTTAAATGTGGTTCTTGGGGCTGGAGCGATAGCACAGCAGGTAGGGCATTTGCCTTCCACGCAGCCAACATGGTCGACATAGGTTCGATTCCCAGCATCCCATATGGTCCCCCGAGCACCGCCGGGGGTGATTCCTGGGTGCATGAGCTAGGATCAACCCCTGAGCATCACCGGGTGTGACAAAAAAAAAGCAAAAAAAAAAAGGTGGTTCTTAAGTGATCTAAGAAAAATTAAAAGTTCAACCATCACATGTGAACTGTCTGCTGAAACCACTCATGCATATATTATGGGACTCTGAAACTGACAGTTAATTCTAGCATATTTCTGATCGGATCAAAAACTGTTTCTAAAGCTTGATAAAGAAAATAAAACCAGTTTCTCTGTTATCTTGAAATGATGAGTCAGGGTCACTGTAAATGATGTAATGTTCAGGGATCAGAGAACCTTCCAGAAACTGGAGTTCATTTAAGCATGGGTATTTTCATAAATGAGGCTAACGACTCTTACCTTTTCATTCAATTACAGTGTACGTGCTTTCCATTCCAGCTATGATGTGATCGGTCACATGGCAGTGAAATAACCAAGTCCCAACATCTCTCGGGTACATTTTCACAGTTCGGAAGACCCCCGGGGGCAGGTTGTAAACATCTGAGCGGTACAGTCCGGAATCCTCAACCAAGACAAAACACCTTTAGAGCAGCCACTTCCTGTCTTATTATCTGATATGACCCCAACTCTCCACCCTATTTTACTGGGCTTGGTTGAACAACCATGACAAAGTTTTGGGGGTCCTGATATCTTTCCTCTGAGCACAACTGAGGATGCAGGAGGGAAAATGAATCCCAGCACATTTCAGTGATGGACGGACAAATCCCTGGGAAACCTCCCACTTGCTGTGGGGATTTGTGTCAGCATCATGCCAGATACCAGCTATGTCTGCAGCTCACACAGAAGAAGGTTCTAGAAGGCCTCGTATGCCTCAATGGTTTCAAGAGAAATAATTCTCACTTGGGATGTTGGGGAAATGAAGACGAACATTGCTTGGGATGCATTGAGTCCGACTGCTTCTGGTGATCAGAAAAAGGGGTATCTGAAGTCACCTACAGTTCTATCTGCCTTCCAGGGCCAGAACTGAGGCTTGGGGGCCCAGCTGGCTCATTTATCTCCTTAGTAGAAAACCTGATGTGTTTTCAAGACAACCAAGTCTCTCTGCCACCTTGGCTTTGAAAGTCAAAGGGAGAAGACCTGGCATGGATGGATTTGAGAGAGCAAGAGAGACATGAGGGCTGCTAACACCAGGGCTAATCTGGAGGGTGGGATGTGGGAAGGAAAGAGAACCTCAGGGCAGGGGTCCAGAAATATCTGAAGACAAAGAGCCTTTAGTGGAACCTGGAGAGGAAGGAATCCTGGGAGAGGTCAAAGGCAGGAGATCAGGACAGTGTGGTGGCACCTGGGGAACAGGAAGAAATGAGCTTCACACTCTTACAGCATTTAGCAAAGTCCCCAGGACACAAAGAACCAAATCTTTAGTATGTTCCTTGTGCCTAGTGGGCTCTGGTTTGGTGTGGAAGGAGCCTCCATTTAGAGCTGACTGTACCCGTTCTTCTTTAGTGCCTTTACCCCACCACACTGTCCCAGACCCTGGTTCACCAGACCCCCATTGATGAAGCAGAGCGCCCCCCAGTGCTCCTACCATGTACTCAAAGCTGTGACCATGGAAGTGGGCCGTGTGCAGGTCCGATTCACCCCCTATGCTAATCAGATAAAAATTCACTTCGTCCCCCACGTGAAACGTCAGACCTTGGTTATTTGCAAAGAGTCTCCCGTTAATTGCTGTCAGAAAAAGGGAAACACAATTGATTAAAATTGACAATATTGTGAGATTTAAAAATACCTTATGGCAGGGGCTGGAGCGATAGCACAGCAGGTAGGGCATTTGCGTTGCACGTGGCCGACCAGGGTTCTATTCCCAGCATCCCATCTGGTCCCCTGAGCACCACCAGGAGTAATTCCTGAGTGCTAGAGCCAGGAGGTACCCCTGTGCATTGCCGGGTGTGACCCAAAAAACAAAAGCAAAAAAAAAAAAAACACCTTATGGCAAATGACCTGGGTGTTTTTCACAGACTATCAGTTTTTTAAATTTTTTTTTCAGGTTTGAACACTCAGCAGTGCTCAGGGATCCCTCCTGGCTCTGTGCTCAGGAGTGATCTAGGAGGAAAAGGAATTCTGCCCTCCATCAGGGAGGATATCTGGGTCTAAAATAATCCATCCTCTATGAAAATCGGCATGAATGTTGCTTGGAATACTAAAACAGACATAACATATGACCCAGCCATCTACACCTCAGGCTCTTCAAAGAATATAAAACTGTGATTTACAGAAAATTTGGGTACATCTGTGTTCATGACAGGACTGTTAACAGTAGCCAAGATATGTCAACAACCCAGGTGTCCAACGACAGATAGTTAGACAAAGAAGATATACACAATGAAATATTGCTCAGCTGTAGAAAAGATGAACTCTTTCCACGTGGGATGATACTGAAAAGGAGGGTCTTGCTTATTGTCGGGAGTAGAAAGACAAATACTGAATAATCTCACTCAGATGTGGAATAAAGTGAAAGAAAGTAAGAGATGGACAAACCAAACACAAACAAATCCTTAGGCTCTGAACACAGGACTCAGGTTACCAAAATCAGGCATGGGTAGAGGACTGGAGGGTGGGGAGCCCAGTATATAGTGATATAGTGGTGGAGGACTATTGGCACTTGGATTAGGAGCGTGGCATGCTAACACGCTTACTGAAGAGGTATGAAACCTAAACCATACACCGCATTTTAAACCAATGTTACTTCAACCCAGAGGGAAAAAAAGAATTTGCCAAGTTAGTGGTCCACATCCTACTCACTGCCTTACTTTTCTATGACCCTTGAGCAGATTATGTTTTCAGTTTCCAATTGGTTGAAAAGAATTACTTTTTTAATAATTTTTTTGCTTTTTGGGTCACACCCGGAGATGCGCAGGGGTTACTCCTGGCTCTGCACTCAGGAGTTACTCCTGGCAGTGCTCAGGCGAACATATGGGATGCTGGGAATCGAACCCAGGTCGGCCATGTGCAAGGCAAACCTACCCGCTGTGCCTGAAAAGAATTTTTAACGACTATTTCTTGACAGACAAAACTTTGATGGGATACACATTTGAGGGCCCATTTAGGAAGCTGCATTGACGTGGAGTCTCTTCCCTCTGTTACATTTGGTTTTTGGGTTCTTTCATGTGACTGAATCTGAGAAGCAAAGAATTTATGCCAGAGACTGTAGGGCTAACCCCTACATCATTTACTCGCAGAGCTTCATAGCTCTGAGCGAACACAGTCTCCCAGCTCCCTGAGTCTAACCAGAGTGACCCTTCGCAGGTTTTCTTTAGGGGAAATTCTTGGTTGGAGAGTTGGTCAGGGGGACATTACCATGCATCATATTGCTGAGCTGAAAATTAGCGTCACTCTTGTTTACTTGGCTGGGTTCTGCAGAATGGGTGTTGATGTTTTCTTCCAAGTACCATGACTTATTCTCATCAAAGGTCATGAAGAGGAGAACCCGGTGAACTAAGTTGGCTTTGACGTCTTTGCGACAAACGATTAAAGGGCCAATCAGTCCGCTGTAAAGATCCTGAAAAGGCAAAGCAAGATTAGGCATGAGGCCCCCAACTAGGCGTGACCAGGAATTGTGGCCAAGACCAGATCCAATCAAAAATGGGTGCTCCTGGGGTCAGATACAGGTTATAATAGTCAGATACTAAGTGTGTGACGAACATGATAAATCCTGGTGGCAAGGATCCTTAGGCTGAAGTGATGGTAAGCGGGTAGGTTGTTTACCTTGCACGCGGCCAACCCAGGTTCAATTCCCAGCATCCCATAGGGTCCCCTGAGCACTGCCAGGAGTAATTCCTGAGTGATAAACTGAATGTGACCCAAAAAGAAAAAAAAAAGTTCTTATCCTCTTCTTCCTGAAAGTCGATGTCCGAAACAAATGACATACTCCTGAAAGAGATTAAAGGTATGCTCCTCCATGGATTCAACATTTAAATTAGAAAATGATGGTTTTCATTAGAATTCTATGACACTATTACAGGTTGGCAGAAAAGTCTAGGCATCTCTGATGCCTTCCTTGGTTTGTTTATAACTCAATTATTTTGGGGTTGAATGGCTGTGTGTATTTTTGTTCCAGGAAGAGAGAAGACCAATTAGTAAAATGTCCAGGGAGCAGGAATTTCTGTTGGTGAATACATAGAAACTGAAATAGAAACAACTGGCCACTTAAAATATAAGTAAGTGGGGCTGGAGAGATCACACAGCGGGTAGAGCATTTGCCTTGCAGGCGGCCAACCCAGGTTCAATTCCCAGCATCCCATATGGTCCCATGAGCACTGCCAGGAGTAATTCCTGAGTGCATGAGCCAGAAGTAACCCCTGTGCATCATCAGGTGTGACCCGAAAAGAAAAAAAAATATATATGTAAGTATACATACTATTTATGTTTTATTTGTCATTAATGACTGAATTTTAAATTCCATAGAGTCGGCCTCTGTATTCTTGGATTCTACATGAAAACATGTTATCTGCACATAGAAGGTCTCCAATGGTTATATCAGAAAGAACATTTTCAGACTGTTTTTTGGTCTTTATTCTCTAAGTACTATAACTATTCACATCACATTTACATTATGTTGAGTATCGTAAGTAATGTGGGGGTGATTTTTTGGGGGCCACACCCAGCGATGCTCAGGGGTTGCTCCTGGCTCTGCACTCAGGAATTACTCCTGGCACTGCTTGGGAGACCACTTGGAATGCCGGGGATTGAACCTGGTCAGCTGTGTGCAAGGCAAACACCTTCCCCACTGTTCTATTACTCCAGCCACTAGGGATGATTTTTAAAGTATTATGAAAGATGTGGAATGGTCAGAATCATTATCTCTTAATAGGAGTGACCCCTTCTGAGAAATGTGTTGCTTGCTTGGTGATTTATTTCATCATTGTGTACATGTCATACGAAAAGGTAATCACACAAAACCAAGTTAACCTAGAGCACATCAAGGTTAACTGGGAATGATTTCTCAGGCCCCCATCATTTGCTGAACATGAAGATACTACAATATTTTCTAGAAGCATCTATGGATTTGGATATCTGAGGGGATTCCTGGGGTGAATTCCTAGTTGACATACAGGGATGACTTTACTTTTCTTTGTATAAACTAAATATTATCCAATGAGACAAAGAGAAGTATATTCACAAATATATGAATATATATACATATGTGCACATATATGTACATATGTGGAGAGCAAGAGAGAGATAAGTTCCAATTCATACTGGCAGATTGTAAATATTAATAATCACAATGTAATTGTGTGTTTTAACCTTGAAAAAGTCAACCCGGTGGAGGATTAAAACAGGGCCTTATTTAGGTGACTTAACAGAAAGTGTTCAGAAAATTAAGATTACCTTTTAAGCAAAATCCAACTCCTTTCCTCCATTATAGTTTCTGGGAGGAGACAGATGGAAAACTGATTCTGTTTAAACGTTACCTTAACAACATCCACAGTTGAGTAGTAAAACCATGGTATACATTCAAAGTTCATTGACGTAGGTCCTGTTCTTTCAGGAATCTCCCAAATGTATGTCTGGATCTCTCCTAAAACAGGAAAACACCAGCTATGTAAATAAAATTTTAAAGAGACACTCAGATGACCAAGACACATGAAAAAGAAAAGCCTGGGCTGGAGGAATAGCACAGCGGGTAGGGCGTCTGCCTTGCACGCGGCCGACCCGGGTTCGATTCCCAGCATCCCATATGGTCCCCTGAGCACCGCCAGGGATAATTCCTGAGTGCAGAGCCAGGAGTAACCCCTGCGCATCGCCAGGTGTGACCCAAAAAGCAAAAAAAAAAAAAAGAAAAAAAAAAGAAAAAGAAAAGCCTAACGTTGCTTATTGTTAGAGAAATGAGAATCACAAAATATGTAAATTATCTCTTCATGCCCGGGAGAACGGCTTCTGTCTAAAAGGTTGAAAGCAAAGGTTAAGGTGCTTACCGAGCACACAGCTCATAAGGCACCATGGTCCCCCGAACATGGCCACTGAGGGTAGACAAAGCCCAAAAACAACAACAAAAGAGAATTATATTATATTGGGGGCCAGAGAGCTAATACAAAAGGTTTGGCACCTGTCTGGCATGCGACCCACCTTGTTCAAGTCCCCAGCACCGCATAAGGTCTCAAAACCATGGCCAGGGGTCAATCCTGAGCATAAAGCCAGTATTAGTCCCTGAGCATACTGGGTGTGGTCCAACCCCCATCAAATAATAATAACATAAAAGAAATATAATGGAAACGGCAAACATTGGCAAGGATGTGGAGAAGAGAGAAACTTAGTACATGGCTGGTGGGAAGGTTCATTGGCTCAGTCTCTTTGGGAAAGTGTGCAGATTCCTATGAGAAATAAAAATGGAAGGTTGAGGAGACAGCTTGAAGGGCCGGAGTGCTTGCATGCTGAGCCCTGGGTCTGCTCCCTGGGCTACATGGTCCCTTGAGCACCCGCAGGAGTAACTAATCGCCTCCCATACCTTCCAGTACCAGATCCATGAACAGCCACTAGCAGGGATGGCCCCAGAGCAAAGAGCAGAATCCAAATCCCCTGGGATGCAGCAGCATCGTTCTGAACTCATGGCACTAACTAGGGGCACATGCAGACATCGAGGCCAAAGGAAACCCGTACCCTTATGCCCGTAGCATCACGATAGTCAAACCTGGAGTGCCCAGGGGTGACCAGTGACCCCAGTACCTCTCAACAGACGACTCCGTAAGAAAGCTGCAGTACATGCATAAAATCAATGGGATACAATTCTGTGTGTATTGAGTTTTTTTGGGGGGGGGGCGTGTCACACCTGGGATACTCAGGGGTTACTCCTGGCTCTGCACTCAGGAATTACTCTTGGTGGTGCTCAGGGCACTAGATGGGATACTGGGAATTGAAGCCTGGTCAGCAGTATGCAAAGCAAATACCCTTCCCACTGTACTAATGCTCCAGCCCCGACTGCCTTTAAAGGATAAAATTGTGTCATTGGGACAAAATGGATGACTCTTGAGGTGACTGTGCTGAGTGAAATAGGGACACAAATGTCAAATGGCACGTGGACTGACTCACTCATATGTGAAATCAGGATAACTTAAGAAATGGACTGGCAAAATAAAACTAACTTCTAAACTCAATGAAAACTATTGTGGTTCCCAGAGAGAAAGGGGGAAGGAATGGAGAATGAGGAGAGGACTTTTGGGTGGTTGGAAAGTTCCAGAACTTTGGTAGTAGGAGTGGCGAGTCTTAACACAAAGAGAGGTAAGGATCCAAATGGTGGAATTCCATGATACATAAGCCAGTGGCACAGCATTCCCAAACCGAACAGAATCTCTGCATCACATGTGCTTATGGAGAACAGGAAACCCAGCAACCCTACAGGGGACGTCTAATGGGGCCACAAGGCTCTGATCTCCACTCCTGGCCCTCCAGTTCCTGACTTGTTGGCCTTCGCGCCTAAGGTTCCATTTTCTAAACTGTGTCCTCATGTGTGTAAAGTGGGGCTTTGGGGGATTTAGGGATTAGGTGAGGTGATGCAAATGAAGGCCTTCGTGTTGTGTAATCTGGACAACAGGGTGAGGCTGAGGTCCCTAATCAGTGTTTTCAGGGTGACTGACTCCAACCCCCAGAGCATTTAAAAAAAGTCAACCGTTCACCATTTCATTCCTTCTTTCAACAAATACTTGGTGCAGTAAAAATAAGGCAGATGTTGAAATCTATTTTGAATCCCAGCTCTGAACCTTCTGTTCGGTGCTTCTTCCTCCCACCCCCACCCGCTCCTCACCCTTGTTAGCCCCGAGTCCGAATGCTTCATGCTTGTCTCTTGCAGGAAAGTTCTTTTCTACCCACCCGCCCTGAACATGGGCACCCTTGCTCTTAGTCCTCTGGCTTCCTTACAGAGGCTTAAGTTCATTCCCCAACTCCCCCCACACACCTGCACTAACCATTCCCATCCCCTTGTCCAAATCCGTTTGCTATTGACCCTCCCTTTCCAGAATGTCTAATAACTGTTGGGCATAACAGACCCTAAATAATACTATTTCCTGAAAACTCTGCTAAGAACAAAGAAAAGTAGAAAATGAAATGATTCCCGCTGGGTGTCCAGGTGAAGGGCAAGGCTGTGGGTGCCTCTGGCCTTCTAGGTTTCTTCCCACAAACCCCCAGTTTGTGGGATGTTCGCTCCACTGACATGGGTTAATGGGAGCCTGGGGGAAGCCAGAGAATGGAGGAGAATCCTGTCCTTGGTGGGTGCTTGATCCTGGCCAATGGGCCAGGCTCTGGGCGCCTGCTCTCCTGAACTGGCATACCAAATGAAAAAATGAATGAAAGGAATGAAAAATGAATACAAACAAGGAACTAGTAGGAGAAGTACTTTGCGGCTCTAGAAGTTTTGTGCAACTGTAGAAGTTCAGTAATGAGGATTTAACTCCTTTGGAAGGGCCGCAGTTGGTACTACAAGCTCTAGTTCTTAGGACTTGCTTCGGGCTCGGTGCTCAGGTATCACTCCTAGTGGCGGGCGGGGGACCATCTGCAGTGCCGTAAATCCCACCAGAGTCTGCTGTGTGCAAGGCCAGCACATTCCCCGAAGTACCAGCTCCCTGGCCTGCCAACTGAACTCTTGCTGCTATTGATCAGCTTGAGGTCAAATCAGTTTCCTTTGATATCATTTCACTTTGGTCTCATTTCCAGTAAGCTTTTGGAGGACATTAGGGAAGAACTCTTCATCCTCAGAAGCGTTTTTGGAATACAAGGAATGTGTGATCCTTCCCTGATTATCAGAGCAAGAGAGATGAAGTGTGAGCTCCCAGGGCAGGAGGCTTGTCTGGGGGCCACCTCAGAATCTTGGGAAAAAAATTTTGGCAAGAGGGGTACTACCAAGTATTGCTCAGGTGGTCAAGACCCCACCAGTGATTCTTGGCCAACTGACCTGGCGGTGCTCAGGCCCCACAGTTCTGGGGATCTCCTGGTCCCCCTGGCAGGTCTGGGAGCCCCAGGGCTGCATCTGGTGATGCTCCAGATCCCATGTGGTGGCGGGAACCGAACTGGGCTGGACACATGCCAGGCACGTGCTCTCACCGAGCTGTCTCCAGCCCCAGGGCTGTCTTGAAAACCAAAAGGGCACATGTCACTCACCCTCGGTTTCTAAGAGCAACTCTTCCTGAATCTGACCCTTTCCTTGGTACCCTTTAATTCCTAGAACGTCTTGTTTCTGTGGGATCGAGGACAGCCACTCTGGAAGTCCTCTCAGTCCACTTTGGGACTGAAGGACAACAGGCCCGAGAGACGGCTCAAAGGGCTGCGCAGTTCAGGCTTTGCATGAGGGACATCTGGGTTTCATCCTTGGCACCCCGCAGTTTCTGGAGTATGGCTGGGAATGACACCCGAGCACTGAACTGGGAGCAGGCCCTGGACATCTCTGGGTATGGTCCAACAAAACGAACAAGTGAAAAACAGAATGAAGGGTGGGGGGTCCCTTCTGAATTGTGTGCCTCGAGCCTGCCTCTGGTAGCCAAGTCAGGGGCAAAGGGCCCACAGTGGCCTCTTCAAGGAACGGGGCAGCTGGGATGGCCGTCTGCAGCACCCTCAGAGCAGGCTGCGCCTTCTGTGGGGGCTGCTGCTACGTGGACGCTCCTCTTGGGCCAATTCTGTTTTGTTCTCACTTGGTTCTCAGTCACTGGTGCCAAGAGCACTGTTTCTTGAGAACCTTTGTTTTAGAATCGGCTCCCTGGGCATTTGCATCGAAACATCATGTCTTAAGCACTGGAGAGACAGTGCACAGGGCCAAGGTGCTTAACTCACATGTGATCGCCCAGATTCAACCCTCCGCACCACACGTGGGCCCCTGAGATCTGCCAGGAGCGACCTCCGAGTACAGAGCCAGGAGGAAGAAGGCCTGAGCATGGTCAAGGGGGCCAGGAAAAAAAATCAATAAATGTGATAGAACGATTTCCTGAGTTGGAGAGATGGATCGAAGGATTGGAACACGTGCTTTGCTCCTGGGCCTCCCTCCGGCTTTGTTCTCCAGCACTGCCTGATCCTCCAAGCACCGCTGGGAGCGACCCCTGAGCACTGAGCCGAGAGCAGCCCCAGCAGAACGCTGTGCATGGGGGTGCCTTAGAGATGTGGAGAGACGCAGCTGCTCACGTCCGGGTGGCCCAGCTCCCTCGTCCCCGCTGCCTTTTGCGCCTGACACTTGGGTGGGAGCGACTGAACGCGACCCAGATGAAGGGTTCCTGGCAGCTGGACAGGAGGTGAGGGAGAGTCTGGGTGCAGGGGTGTGGGGGTGAGGGACTAGAGAAGGGGAGGAGGAGAGGGAGGAGGGGCGAGTGGGTCCACAGGGAGTCTTGTCTAAGGTTCACCCCAGGCCGCCAAGCCCGACTTCCAGAAAGAGCTTCTCCCCTCGCCTCCTCGGTTCCTCTATCCATGGCAACATTCCTGCCCTGAGAAGGCGTCTGTGCATCACCTACAGAAAAGCCTCCACCTCTTCTTCCCCCGAAGCAGTTACCTGGCTGGGTGGGAGCCACAGTGGAGTAGCTGGTTTTCACTCCGTGGGCGTGGATTGAGTAGGGTCGGGAAGCTTTGTTCTTAAAGACCACTCGGAGGACTTGTCCAGGGGAGAGAATCAGCAAAGGACCTGAAAAATGGAAAAAGGGGAAACGGGAGGCCCAGGGTCATTTACTTTCTGAGTCATCTGTCCCCTGAGTCTTCAGACAGGGGTGTCATTTGGATCTCTCTCCTTTACAGAAACACAAACAGCCTGCTGAGTCCTGAAGTCTGGTCCGGGCCTGGAAACGTTTAGGCATCTTATGTTTTCTTGGTTCTGTCTTTGGAAACAGACTTTAAGGAGTGCCAGCTCACATGGAGGAAGATACCCCATTGAGGAATGGAAACGGAAGGCCTCTGTCCTGATGGAGGAAGAGGAGGGGGGGGAGTAGGAGGAGGAGGGAGAGGAGAGGGAGGAGGGGGAAGAAGAGAGGGAGGAGGGGGAGGGGAGGGGGAGGAGGAGAGGGAGGAGGGTGGGTGGAAGAAGAGGGCAAGGCCTTTTCACTGAGCAGCGTGATGTTTGCTCCTAGACCTCAGGTCCCCATGCCCACACGCTCTCTGCCTCCTTTCCAGGTCCGAATCAGACAGATAAACTTGCTTTAAAATCGTTTCCTAGTCGACCAGGAGTAACCCCTGTGCATCATCGGGTGTGATCCAAAAAGCAAAAAAAAAAAACCCCAAAAACAAACAAACAAACAAATTGGCACTGGAGTGAAAGCACAGCGCAGAGGGCATTTGCCTTGCACACGGCCTTCCTGGGTTTGATCCCCGGCATCCCATATGGTCCCCCCGAGCACCACCAGGAGTAGCCTGAGCCAGGAGTAACCTCTGTGCATCATCGGGTGTGACCCCAAAGGCAAAATAATAATAATAATAATAAAATAAAATTGTTCCCTCGTCGAAAGCAGATGAAATCAGAAGATCAGAGACCAAGATGATCCTGAGATACACTCAGTGGCCAGAGGACTCTCAAAGGAGTGCCCCAGGGCCCTGTCAGCCAGGGTTCCCCTCTATGCTGAAGACAGAGCTGCAGTCTCATCCCCCAAACTCCCCCTGACCAGAGCTTTCCTTCTCATAGAAGGGGTCTCCTGTCCTTGTCAAATTATACTGGAGTCTTGAAGGTCACCTTGGGGCCTTTGGCAGGACTCCAGGGCAAGCGAACAGCCAGAGTGACTCACTGCGCGGGGGGAGTAGGAGCAGAATCTGACCCTGGGGCTGCCGGGGCACGTCCGTGCAAACCTGCCTTCTCAGAGCCACCAGGAGGGGGCGCAGGGAGACGCACAGAGATCAAGACGGCCCGGCCCAAACGCCCAGAAATCCCACGTGCTCTGCTACCACGTGTGGGCGTGGGGGAGCCAAGGCCAGCCGTCCTCTTGATGGGCCAAGTGGATGGAGGAGGAAGTGCAATCTTACTACTAAACACTTAACCTCTATTTTTTTTTTTAATTCAGAAGAGATTATGGTTCAAAGGGCAGAAAGAAGGGAAGCCAGGCAAGAAGGCTCCTAGAGCAGGAGGGGACTCAACCAGGATTCCCAAAGTGTTTTCAGACTTCTCATTTCAACTTGGTCTGGGGGAGTCCCAACTGGTGGTGTCCAGGACTTACTCCCGGTTCTGTGCTCAGGGGTCACTCCTGGTGGTACACAGGAGACCAGATGTGGTGCTGGAATTGAACCAGACTCAGCTGCATGCAAGGCAAGTGACACCCCCCACACACACACCACCACCACCACCACCACCACACACACACACACACACACACACACACACACAGTCTCTATGGACTAACGCTGAAATTCATCCATTTATTTATTTATTTAGAGCAGAACCAAAATAATATAGTATTTCCCTCTCGAGTTGGTTGCCTCCTACTTTGAATCCAATCAAATGTCGTTAATGCTGAAATTTAGACAAAGACGTTTCCCTCTTCATTTTGAACTTCATTTCAACTTTAGTGAATTGATTTCTCTCTGCTACTCTGGGGTCCCATTAGGATTGTTGGGTCCTGGTGGCAGAAAGCCAGGTCACCCGAACTAACTATGGTCTCTTGCTTCCATGGAACCAGACTTGAATTGGTTCCTCTGGCACCTAGGAACTGTCTGTTCTCTGATAATCAGTCCCTCAGTCTGTGTGTCAGCCTCAGTGACCCAGAAAGAGAGACCCAAACACCAGCTTTACCCTCCATCAGTACCTAGGACATCCAGGTGCGTTTCGTTCTCATTCCTTACTGTTTGTTTTGTGAACGTGATGTCTTCATACTGGCGGTAGACGACCTTCTTGTATTTGGATCCAAGGTAGGCCCCAATTCTATCTATAAACATGCTTGTTTTGCTTCAAAAAACAAAAATAAACAACAGTGTTTATTTAATCACGAGATAAATCCTCATTTGTAAGACTTTTTTGATATCAGGCATTTTGATATCTCTAGAAGCTTTTCTATTTTAAAAAATAGTTGTTTTAAAAAATATATTAATTCTGCTGATTGTTGGTGATTTAATCTGTACCTTAAACCATGTTTTCAGGATAAAATTTGAGTTTAGAATGAATGAACACACAGTAAGAGAAAAATCACAGAAAGCCATCAAATTTTGCAAGGAAGAAAAAGGATCGAGCTGAGCTTCCCAGAGAGCAGCTGAAGTGAGCATGGCCAGAGGAAAGGTTAACTGCTTCATGTGCAGTGAGATGAAGTTATATTGAATGTGCTTCTAAATGGTGAGATTGACTGATTTACACCCAAGGACAAGACAAGAGGGTGCCGGAGAGAAGAGAGAGCAGAAGAACCATAGGAGGACCAAGTGGGTAGAAGATTTGAGGTTCACACACAACCTGGTATTTAAATGCAGACCATTACCACATTTGCGGCCATGCGACACCTCATATCTCACACCACTCATATTCCAAGAATAGTGCACCACATCTGATAGGGTTTAAAGTAGAAGGCAACCAATCTTAGAGGGAAATATATTTTTACAGATATATATCTGTGTATATATGTGAGACTTGTTACTGTGTATGTATGTGTGCATATACATATAAACACATACACATATATGGACACAAGGCTCAGTTCTTAACAACACAAGATAAAATACAACAATCTTCACACACTCTCCTTTAAGGAAAGCTTTTTGGACCATTCTCAGAAGTTTATTCATAACAAATAATACAAAATATATTATTTCGGTTCTGCTCTAAGGCAGGGGTTGGGGTTCAGGATAGAAACATCCAAAATAAGATGTTGGGAAGGTATCATTGGTGGTGGGATTGATGTTAGAATAGTAATGCAATCAAATATTGTGAACTACTTTATAAAAATAAAATTAAATTAAAAAATAAATGCAGGCCATTAAAGAAGTGAAGCTGTATCTCTGTCTCTCTCTTCCCCCCTCCATCCTTCTCCCTCTTTCTCTCTCTCTCTCTCTCTCTCTCTCACACACACACGCACACACACACGCATACACACTCAATAAACAAAAGAAAAGATGGAGGACCACAGAAAACAAACCCATGCCCATTAGAAAGAGATCACTGCCATACTTCTCTCTTTGTAAATATTTCAGCTCCCGCTGCCATTTCTTGCTGGGAGTATAATCCCATTCAATCTCCTCCGATGCAATGTAAACAACTCTTTCTTCCTGGAACTGTGTTTCATTAGGATTTCGCTCCGAACACGACTTGACTTGGTATTTGTGTCTCATGCCTCCCTGATAGTGTTCAGCGGTCATACAAACCAGCTCAAAAGTTCCTAGAAGTGAATCAGGGAAGGTTACTTAGTTTTCCTTTCTCTGTGAAATTATCTCTAAGTTACAACGCTGCCCCCCCGCCACATGCACACATGCATACACATTTTAAAAAAATAGAGGAAGATGTTCCATTCATTTGACAAACATTTACAGGTTTTCTTCTTCATGCCTAGCCTATTTTTCAGACACATCAACCAGCAAAATGGCTGGAGTATTTTTGTCCTTAGGGTTTTTATTACAGGGTACTGTAGAACTGAAAGTGAGTGACTTAGATGGTTTGGAAGGCGATTAGTACTGTGGATTAAAGAAAAGTATAGATCAGTGGATGGAGAACTGAGAATTCTAGGATGTGTGTGTGTGTGTGTGTGTGTGTGTGTGTGTGTGTGTGTGTGTGTGTTGCTGGGACTCAAAGGTGCAATATTTGATTGAGTAATCAAGAGAAGATGGTTGGGTGGGAGGGAGGGGATATGAATCTAGCAGGAAGAGTTATCCAGGCATGAAGATGGTCAAGTCCAGGGCCTGCTGTGGTGAGGACAAACTCAGAGACCTGTGTATCTGGAGGGGCATTTGCAAGGGTGAGATAACTACCTGCGTGGGTGGGTGGGGTTCTTTGAGACCACCGCAAAATCTATGGCTCTTGGTCTGAAAGGGCGCACAGGTGTGAGATTGGCATCAGTACGTGACATGGGGCATTATTGCAAGGAAGCTGAGAACGGGTGGAGGCAAGAAAGGTGGAAGGCAGAGACCTGGTAGGTGCCATGAGAAGATGACAAGAGGTGATAGGGTGGACGGCAGTGGTCACAGAGGGCCGCATGAGAGGCGGTGAAGGGGAAGGAGATGAACACACGAGTAGTGCCAAATTGGCACCGCCGCCACCACCACCGGAAGTCCAGCTCCAGGCTGACTCTGCTCTGCCCCCCGCCCCCAAGACCAGACCTCTCCAATGATTGCTGTGCTAGTTCACTGTAACTTTTAATGGAAGGAGGGTTCAAGAACACGATGTTGTCAGACTTGGAGGCTGGGGGAAGAGAATTTGCCCCGAATACTGTAATTCTAGATCATGTGACTGAAGGTGTCCGCAAGTATTCTGCAGCCGATGTGCAGCACACCAGCACATGTTCAGTCTGGGAAAGGGGCCTTCCGTGCTCACCTACGGAATCGGGTGTCATTAAAAGCGTGTTGGAAGTGTGGGGAATGATGGCTTCAGTGTCCTTCCTGGAGCCTGAAGAAATGAAGGTATTTCCTTGAAAATAGATGCCATGTAAGTCCTTTTCCGTCCCCACACTGAGAATGTGCCATGACACATTGTCTCCTGCACACATGACCAGTCCTGGTAGATTTCCATACATGTATCCATTTATGGCTGCAAGACATTTGTGACAAGACAGGGACTTGAGTGAAACGACACCACTTGGAACTCAGTCAAGGACTAAATATAAAATGCTTCATTCACATAAGAATGAATCATCTCGAGCCCAGCGTGATAGTAAGTGGGGCAGGGGAGGCAGGGGAGCATTTGCCTTGCACGTGGCCAACCTGGGTTCGATCCCCGGCATCCCATATGGTCCCCCAAGCCCTGCCAGGAATAATTCCTGAGTGCAGAGACAGCAGTGACCCCTGAGCACCGCTGGTTGTTACAAAACAATAAACAAAACCGGCCCCGTGCTTTCAAGGAACCAAGAATCTAGAGGGAGAGAGAGGCAGGACTATCATTCCAGATGTAGACCTCAGTTTCCTTATCTTGGGGGCCACACCCAGCTGGCTCTGTGCTCAGGGATCGCTCCTGAAGGTGCTTGGGCCACCTGCAAAGCAAACTTAATTTTGGTACTAGCTTTCATCCTCCCTCCCCAAAAAGAAAAAGAAAGTGAATAATCTCAAGATCTGCGTCAACATCTTACGAATAAGTCGACATCTTATTTGAGGGTCAGAGAGGAAACTCTTTGTCCAATGTCATCAAGCTTATGATTTTAAAAGTTCAGAATTCAAATCTACAGATTCTAGACCGATACTTTTCCTACTTCACTTTAGAGTCTGTAAGAACCAGACAACAAACTAATCAATCAAATACTCATCTAGTCACTCCACTCATTTGGCAAGAGAGAAAAAAATGACTTTTCTGCTTCACACTTTGCAATAGCTAAAATAAGATATTTATGCTAAGAAGACCGACAATATTTGGTAAATTAACTTTAACATATCCATCCTAGTAGCTAATATTTTTATTGGGAAGTTATATTTAATGGGGGCTGGAGTGATAACACAGCGGTAGGGCATTTGCCTTGCGCGCAGCCAACCTGGCTGAGCTGGGTTCGATTCCTCCGCCCCTCTTAGAGAGCCTGGCAAGCTACTGAGAGTATTCAATATGCCAAACACGGTAACAAGAAGTCTCACAATGGAGACGTTACTGGGCCCACTCAAGCAAATCGATGAACAACGGGAAGACAGTATTTGTTTTTATATTTAATGGAAACATGGCATGTCTTCACCACAACTGGGCGGGGGGGGGGGGGAATGTGTCTTTTTAAAATAATCCGTACACTTTTAGCCATAATGGAATTAATGCATTTGTCTTATAAACTAAATAATCTCTTACAGGACATTAGGTTCGAGTCTTGGAAGTCTGGATCCTCTTTATCCACCTTTTCAGGCTCTGTGGTAAATATTTTGATATTTTCATCCAAGAGATAGCTTTCATTTTCATCAAATATAGTGGCGAGTATGTAAAACTCTTTGTCTATTCCTTTCTGTGGATTAGAACAGACATAAAATGTTGATAATCTTGTCGATACATGATTCCCCATGTGAGGAAATGTGAACGCTTTGAAAAATTTAATCAAGTGAAATTTAATCTCTCCTCTCACGGGCATTTTACAGAAAGCCATGAATCCAACCAAATGGACTTGTCACAGGTCTGAGTAGATGAGAGAGAAACATCTACAATATCTCATTTTTCACCTAAGGCTCTTAGATGAGGAACTGGAGCCTCTTTATTTTATTTATTTATTTATTTATTTTTCTGGAGCCTCTTAACCCCGTAAAACATGATCATAGAATCACTGATGTTTACTGGTGGTGGCTTTTCAAAGACTTCAATGAGGAAACTAAGTTAAATAAAATATTTCAATTTGAAAAAGACTTCACTATTAGGATCCAGAAACAAACATTTTTTGGAGCAAAACATAAAAATGACATGTATGAGAAGATACATCAGGTGTTTGTATGTGACTTTCATTATATTAGTAAGTATGATATAGAAAATATTTAAAATAAAATTGACATTCAACTATACTTATATTTGAGACTTTGTATTACATATGAGTTATAATACAAAGAAAAACTTTTCTAGCAACTCAATATGTGAGTGAGGGAGAATGGAAATTCATTCAAGTACTTATTGCACACCCGCGTCGTGCCTGAGAGGGCGCTGTGGTTGTTACAAAACAATGAACAAAAACTGCCCCGTTCTTTCAAGGAGCCAAGAATCTAGGGGAGAGGTCGGACTATCATTCCAAATGCAGACTTCTGTTTGTGTATCCTGGGGGGCCACGCCCATCTGGCTCTGTGCCCGGGAATCACTCCTGGAGATGCTTGGACCACCGGCAAGGCAAACTTTACCTTCTCCAATTTTGGTACTAGCTTTCATTCCCGCTCCCCGTTTAGGGCTGCAAGATGTTTGTGACAAGACCTGGGGATTGAACTAAATGACATCTCTTGGAACTCCCCCACTCCCCAAATGTGTTCTCCTTGAGCAGGCAAAACCACTGCGGACAGAGAAGAAAGGCAGAGATGGGAATTAGCTCCTTCCTCGGGAACTAAAGCAGCAGCAGCAGAATCCATGGAACTGCAAGGTGCTAGGGTGGAGACACAAATTTGGGGGATTCCAAATCAGATCGCCCTGCCACAGAGGCGGGGTGGGATGGGAGGGGATGGGGGGTGGGAGGGATACTGGGGTCATTGGTGGTGGAGTATGGGCAGTGGTGGAGGGATGGGTACTCGATCATTGTGTAACTGTAACACAAGCACAAAAATTTGTAAGTCTACAACTTGTACCTCATGGTGTTTCACTAATACATTTTTTAAAAAAATCAGGGTGTAGTTTTAAGCATAAAGACTGCTCTATGGGATCCAAAGGGAGGAATGCTGAAGCCAAGAGAGCGTGGGACAGGATCTGGAGGTCAAAGGCTTTTGGCTGGAGAAGTTGGTGTCCAAAAGAGGACCAGGGGATGGGAGGGAAAGCCCCTGAGTGGGAGGGGAGAGGAGAGGGAGGTAGGGGTGATAGGACACCCAGGCTTCATTGACTCTGGCGTCAGAGGTCAGAAAGACAGGAAAGGGTCTACGCAGAAGAGGAAGGGGCAAGAAGGGGTGACCATTCAGAGGCCGAGGAAGGGGGCCGGAGAGATAGCACAGGGGCAAGATGCTTGCCTCTCATGTGGCCGACCCTGATTCAAATCCCCAGCACCACTTATGGTCCCCAGAGCACCTCAGCCCAGAGTCAGGAGCAAGCCCTGAGCACTGCTGGGGGTGATCCAAAACCCAAACAAGGAAACACAATCAAATCAAATAGAGGATGTTGAAGGGCTCGCCCCTGTTGAGCGGTGTCTGGGGAACATTCCCTTGGCAAAGGGACTGCTCTGGAGTGGAAGAAAGAAGGAAATGGGGGGGGTGAGGTAGAGGGGTTCCTGGGCACATGGAAGGTGGAGCCACACATCACTATGTTGCCTTTCCTGCCGTCCGGTCCTGAGCGGTGTCTTGCTGGGACCCACCTGGCCCAGGCTCACCTGTCTGCCATCCTCTCCAAGACTTCCGGCTCTGCACACGAGGAGCGGCCCGACCAGCCCGCTGTTAGTGTCCCTCTTCCGATGCACCGAGGAGTAATACAGCCACGTCAGGCACTGGGGGTCCATGGCCGTGGGACCCGCATCCTCCGGCACTTCCCAGGTGTAGACGAACGTCGAGCCCGGGTGCACGTGGGCGGAGGGTGGGGGCGTGCCTAGGAGGAAAGCCACGTCGCAACATCGAGCTCAAGACCAGGAGGGCCCTCGGCCACAGAGGGGGATCTGGGGACTGGGACCGCAGGGTGCTCGGGGACCGGCCAAAGGCGTGGGAGAGGTGCCTGTTTCCAGCTCGGGAACAGAGCAGCGACGACGAGGGCCCGAGAAGGGCGTTGCACCGGGCTCTACTTACGTCCTCTGGGGGTCCGGTAGAAGGAGCCCTCGTTGCTCTTGCTGTGACGCAGCCCGTGCGGCTGGATGCTGAGTGGCACGGAGGCCCGGTTGTAGAAGGTGACCCGGATGACCTGCCCCACCTCCGCCTTCAGGACGGGGCCTGGAAGCCACAGAGGTAGCAGCTGCGCTCGTTTGTGGAGACAAGGGACGAGCTGTCTAGCTTGGGGAAGCTTGGCGGAAAGGGAGGACGTTCATGAGTCCGAGAGGGACCCTGCTACGGGAGGTCTAGGTCACCGGGTGTCCTAAGAAAGCCACTTTGTTTTTCGCTTTATTCTGTTTTGTGTTTTTTTGGCTGTTGGGTCACACCCAGCGATGCTCAGGGTTTACTTCTGGCTTTGCACAGGAACCACTCCTGGCAGTGCCGGAGGACCATGTGGGATGCCCGGGATCGAACCCGGGTCAGCCACATGCAAGGCAAATGCCCTACCCGCTGTACTATCACTCCAGCCCCAAGAAAAAAGTCACTTTGGATCACACAAATAAATCCGAACTGTATAACATCACAGAGTTAAGAATGATAGCTAAAACTCGGGTGATTCTCACAGCCAGAGAGTTAGTGGGGGTGGGGGGCGGGTAGAGCGCCCTTTCCTTGCAAATTCAACCCCCAGCATTCCATATGTATCCCCAGCACAGACAGGAGTAATTCTTAGCACAAAGTCTGGACTAAATTGAATTCCTTTCATAAGATTCTAAGATGACAGCTAAAATCTCTAACACAGAGCTGTTGTATGCTATTTTCATGCATGGGGTGTATAACTTGTCTTTATAAACCCATGAACTTTGAGTGGCATTTTACCAAGAATTCCAAGGTGCTCTTCTCTGGCCTTTTGTGTTTGGAAGGAAGCATCTGTGTATTCACGGTAAACTATTTTTTTAAAAGTTCCTCCAATTCTGGTTGGGCTTTGGTCAAAATAGAGACGGGATTTGCTGCAGAGAAAGTAGAAACAAAAATAACTTCAAAATTTGTAGTAGTCACGTAAGAAAAAAAAGTAAAATTTGATGCACATTTATTTGAAGATATTTTTATATTTATCACTGATTATAAAAACAGTGCATTTTTATTGTAAGAAATTTGGAAAGTAAGGGAAATACAGCAAAAAAGGAGAATATAAGGTGATCATGATCCCATCATCAGTGTGTATAACCACATAAACATTTGCATGGAACTCAGTCTGGTTTTTGTCAACGCTTCTGTGTAGAAGTATCTGTATCTGTCTTCTTAGTGGTGATCTATAGACTTTCTTTTGATTTTATGTTTGTCTGTTCGCTTGTTTTATGGTTTTTGGCCACACTTGGTGGAGCTCAGGGCTTACTCTTGGCCCTGTGTTCATGGGTCCCTCCTAGTGTTAACTCAGAGGACTGTATATGAGTGGTTTAAACCCCTGTACTATCTTTCAAATTCCAGACTTTCTTTTGGAACAAAAATTAAAAAGACATTCTGCTTATCTGCTTTGGTTTGTTTGTTCCATACTAAAATGAGGCACGTGTGAAACTGGAGAGATAGCACAGTGGGTGAAGTATTTGCCTTGCATGTGGCTGACCCCAGTTTTATCCTCATGTCCGTCTAGGAGTGAGTGACCCCTGAGCACAGATCCAGGAGTTAACCCTGAGCACTGTTAAGTGTGGTCCTCGCCCCGTTCCAAAAAAAAGGAATAAATAACAACCAAAAAAGAGATATATTTACTCTGGAGCGATAGCACAGCGGGTAGGGCGTTCGCCTTACACGCGGCCAACATGGCCGACCCGAGTTCGATTCCTCCGCCCCTCTCGGAGAGCCCGGCAAGCTACCGAGAGTATCTCGCCCGCACGGCAGAGCCTGGCAAGCTACCTGTGACATATTCAATATGCCTATCACAGTAACAACAACAAGTCTCAGGGCTGGAGCGATAGCACAGCGGGTAGGGCGTTCGCCTTACAAGCGGCCAACATGGCCGACCCGAGTTCGATTCCTCCGCCCCTCTCGGAGAGCCCGGCAAGCTACCGAGAGTATTTGATATGCCAGACACAGTAACAACAAAGTCTCCAATGGAGACGTTACTGGGCCCGCTCGAGCAAATCGACGATCAACGGGAGGGCCTTTACCTTTACCTTTACCTTATTTACTCTCAGAATTTTTTTGCATATTTTAAACTACTTCACTGTTGGGAATTTTCCCCCCCTCAGGGAATTATCTTATTGTAATAGAATTGAAATGCGAGAGTCTATTAATTTTTACTTTAGTCAATATCAAATGAGAGTTGCGCCTAACTAAATTTAATTGTTTCTCTATACCCAGAGAACTCTCTCATAATGTATATTTAAAAAAATTTGTAAAACTGCTATTGAGAATACCATCCATTCTATTGTTGGATCATTAAGTCAACCTGTTTTAAATTTATACTAGGAAAAAAAAAGGCAAGGGGTATGGTTTTTTTTCTTCACTCATTGTGTAACGATAATTCTTAGGCACATTGTTCTCTAGTTACTGATGTGATTATTTCCCTGTCTTTTGTTAATGATTTTATTTTAAGATGTCTAGATCCTTATTAGAAGTAGCTGGGTTATAAAAAAAGTAATTGATTATCTTTATTTGGCCATAAATATTTTAGTAATTACCTTCCAGGTGCTGTTAAGTTTTTTCCAGTAAATAAGTCCACACCAGAAGGGGCATAGTTCCAAAAAATTTCTTCAGCAGCAATATAATAATGTAAAACGTGTGTCTCAGTAACAACTGTCGAAGGTTTTTGGCAATTTCTGACGCTGAAAAAGGCTTGCATGCTCTCTGTGGAGAAAAACAGCAAAAACAACATAACATGACAAACCCAAGGACAGGTGGCTGTTGAAACATCGAAAACATCGAAATCTTGGGCCAGAGTGATAGCACAGCAGGTAGGGCGCTTGCCTTGCACACGGCCAACCCAGGTTTGATCCCTGGCATCCCACATGGTTCCCCAAGCACGGCCAGGAGTGATTCCTGGGTGCAGAGCCAGGAGTAACTTCTGAGCATCGCTGGGTGTGATCCAAAAAGAAAAAAAAAACCCACATTGAAACCTTTTTCGTTTTTTCTTTGCCCACACATGTTTTTACTCTAGCTAACAATATTGTACCATGCCTTTATTTGAGAAATTTGAGAAATTTACAGGTTCTGCGCAGAAACTATATGAAGCAGGGAAATAAGCCAGGATGCAGAAAAGCAGCATCATTGCTGAAGTCAGTATTTGGCATTGGACCAACCCTTAGGTAAAGATGCCACCTTCATACCAAGCAAAATTTGAGCGTTGATTTAGCTAAAACACCTTTCTTGTGGATATGCGAAAGCACTATCACCAGTCACTAATGAGTAGATGGGCTTATTATGTTAACAAGTTGGCAAACAGGAAAAAGTCCATTTTTACAGGGCATCTCTCCTGTGTCTTGATTTCAGTATCCCGTTGCTGAGAGTGTAAGCCACTATGGACCCATTCGGAGGCAATTTGGAAATATTTGCTCACATTCAAAACCTTTCCAGTATACGATTTCCCTTCTTGGTAATTTGCCAAGATAAATCTTTATACATGCGTAAAATGATGCATATAAAATAGAAGTTGATTTGAACTTTGTGAATTAAGGAAAGGAAGCCATTTAAATGTCAGCCGGGGTGGTTAAATAAATTAGGATGCACCTTTGATGTGGAATGCCATGCAACCATTAAGTCAATGTATGGGGACCATCAAGATTTCAAGACGCACTAATGAGTGAAGAGGTACCCAGCCAAGCATTTTCTGCAACACGATCTGCTTATGTGAAGCAGAACACAGCTGCACGTTTCTGCATATGCATCTGTCTTGTGGGAAAATAGCAGTAAAGACGTTGGCAAGAATTCGAACCCAAAGGACTACTGTGGTCCGTCTCTGAGAAGGGACCCAGGGTGGGGTGGGGCACTATGGAGCTCAAGAGGGGTGTTTTTAAGCCAGGTCTCCAATATTTGACTTATTGCTAACTTTTGCGGGGCGAAGCCTCCCGCCATGGCCAATTTGAATGATTTAAGTATTTACCAGTTGACTTATCTTACTTGTGGGTTTCCTGAACTGCTAGGAACTGACACCCATACACATTAAAGTTTGGTTTTCTTTGCTTGCCACATTCCCACATCTAGTTCTCCCTCCTTCTTATTCACCTTTTTCTCTCTCTCTCTCATCCCTCTCCAGCAAAAGTCTACTCATGTATTCTTATAATGACAAGAAACAAAAACGGTACAAGGACACAGAGAGAGGAGACACACAGGAGAAAGCCGTGGGGCTGATCAAAGAACTTTCAGGAACTCTCTAGATTCTTCCCTGGGCTGTAGTAGAGGAAGAAAGACCTCCTTGAGGGTACCATCTACAAACATGGGCACTTGAAGTGGTGGCACTGAACGTATTTTATTCTTGCTTGGAGGCCACACGCAGCAGTTCTTGGGGCTTACTGATGGGTCAATGCTCAGGTGTCAATCCTGGCAGTACTTGATAGAGTGCTGGGGATTGAATTTGGGTTTGCAAAGCAAGGACCTTACCTACTGTTTTATTTCTCTGGCTAGGAATGTAATTTTTTACCTTGAACATGGTATTTCTCTGTAAGTGAGAACATACTGTCGTTAAATCCAGCTCCTGAGTTATAGTAACTGCAAGGCTCTCCTTTCTAATATGCTGGCAGTATTAGAATGCATAGGAAATCTTAATGAATCTTGATGTTTAGCTGTGTAAATAATTCACTGATGCATGAAGCTAACCAGAGTATTCCTTTGGTTAAGAAAATTAAAAAAACATTTGATCAGAGAACCAAATTCAATTTTTTTTGTACAAGAAAAGGGAAATTTTCATTTCTAACAACAATAATGTTTTCCGATTGAAAAATAAAACATGACTATCTGAAGCATGGGATCATTTCTGTTTTGTGTTGCGTTCTTTTAGGCCATACCCAGCTTGCTCCGACATCACTCCTGGTGGTGCTCTATCACCCTGGGTGGTGCCAGGGGTCAAACTGGGATCAGCCACTTCTGGGAGGACACAATACCACCCATGTTACCTTTCTGGTCCAGCATGGAGTCACTGGACTTCATTATGACTGAAAAAGAGTAATGAGTCCATTGTTGACCGATCCATCATTAAATGAAGGTATGAGTAAGAAGGAAAGAAAAATAAGGAAATGTATGGACCACTGGACTAAGATTATTTAGTCCAACATAATTCCTAACTCTAATGCTTTAGGTTTGAAGGCAAGAGTGTGACTTCTTGGAGCTAGTTTCCTCAACTGAGAAACAAAACAAAACTGTAACAACGTAATAATCCCTGCCCTGCCTGTCACTCAGGGGTCTTGTAAATTGTTGCTTTGAGAAATAGACCAAAGTCATTGGAAGTTGTAGATGTCACTATAGAGAATGTTAATTATGATACCTGAGGTTGTTTGCTGTTCCCTTAAAACCCTTTGAGGAAAGAAGAGAGTGAGAGTAAGCGAGAGAGAGAGAGAGAGAGAGAAAGAGAGAGAGAGAGAGAGACAGGGACTGAAATAGAGACAGAAATAGAGAGGAGATAGAGAGAGGGAAAGAGAGGAGGTAGAGAGAAGGGGAGAGGGAAGGAGAGAGATAGAGGGCAGAGGGAGGGACAGAGAGAGACCCAGGGGGTGGGGTGGGGGAAGTCTCAACAGGTTGAGTGCAGGCTTTGCAGAGGGGTCGGAGATTGATCTCTGGTAGCACATGGTACTGCCGAGCACAATCTCCAAACACAGAACCAGGAGTAGCCCCTGAGCACTCCCAGGCATAGTCCCCCCAAACCAAAAACATTCTTAAAGAAAATAAAACTAACTTTTGCCCATGTTTCTCTGTAGAAGGAAACATTTCTTCTTGGCATCTACCCAAGTCTCACATTCTCACATCTCACATCTCACACCTTCTTTCCGTTAGCCAATCTCTCTGTCTCTGTCTCTGTCTCTCTCTGTCTCTGTCTCTGTCTCTGTCTCTCTCTCCCCCCCCCCCCCCTTTTAGCAAAAGCTTACCAGGAGCGTGGACGCTCTGCCTGTGGGAAGAGGAGTCGGTCCTGAGACAGTCTGTGCTTACCTGCTCTCTCACCTAGTGTGTTAAGGGCACTAGATTATTTTTAAAAGTTTAGCATGCGGGGCCAGAGTGATAGTGCAGCAAGGAAGGCATTTGCCTTGCATGAGGCCAACCCAGGTTCGATCCCCAGAGTCCCATATGGTCCCGCTGTGCACTGCCAGGAGTAATTCCTGAGTGCAGAGCCAGAAGTAACCCCTGAGCACCACCAGGTGTGGCCCCCAAAGCCAAAATAAAATAAAATAAGATTAGCCTGCGTGAGCAGGAGCTGGCTGAAGTGAACATGTACTGTTCTGAGCTTTCCTTTTCCCTTTTGAAACTTCTTTTTGGAGGCATCATCACAAACCAGCATCTGTATTGCATCTACTGCGTTGCCTACGTTGTCATTTATGTAATTTGTACTTAAACTGTAGTGGCACACCCACTACCGTAAGTTCTCTATTAAAAGCCCATATCTCAGATGAGAAGGTGCTTATAACGCTTGGAACCTTGGAAGCTCTCTCTTTGAGTGCTTCCAAGGGTCCAGGCCTTTTGTGTCAGGAATCCTTACCATGGACTGCACACCCCAGCATCCACTCTCCCGGGCCCTGGGCCACCATGGAGGCGTCTTCCAGCGAGGAAGGGAAGAGGGCAATGGTGTCCTGTCTCTTGTTCTGAGAGATCAGCATCTGGCCGTGGAAATAGACGGGGTGGGTATCGACTACTCCACCCATGCCCACCAAGAACCACTTGACCCTGTCGTCCACACACATGGTGAGATCAGGCAGATTTCCGTACAGGTATCCATTTATGGCTGAAAACAAAGGTACGAGAGTCTGTCAAGCGGGGCCGAGCGGGGCCACGGCAGAGAATTCTGAGCATTTCCACATAACATAAATCTGATCATTTTGAGCATTGCGCTCACGCATGACCCGTGACAAAAGCTGCATTTGCCAAGAAAAGGGGACATAAACATTTCATATGCCGAGAAGCTGCAGGAGCAAGAGAAGAAAATCGAGCTGAAAGGCAGGAAACAACGGAAGGGGCCGAGAATAGAAAGAGACGAAGGCTTTGATCTTCATCATATTTTTTGCTTTACAACTGCCTTTCCTACGTTCCTGCCATCTGCTTTTGATCATTATCAGATTTTGAAAAACAAACCCATCTACCTCACTATTTTGTGTTTTTGGTTGGTGGGGTGGGGGTGATCAGGGGAGGAGCAAGCAGAATCAAACCTTGAGTGAAAAACGAAAAATTAGGGCTGGGGAGATAGCCCAATTGGCTGGAACCCCTGCCTTTCACGAGATGGCCCTCAGTATGGCCTCCAACACCACGTGGTTCCCTGAGTACCACCAGAAGTGGCAGGTGGACACTGAGCACTGTTTAGGAGCCCCCCAAATAATAAAATCACGCCCTGAATGTAGCTCACTACCAGTACTTGCTTTACATGTTGGAAGTCCTGGGTTTGAGCCTTAACACTGCAAGAAAGAAAGGAAGGGAGGGAGGGAGGGAGGAAGGAAAGGAGGAGGGAGAGAAGAAGGGAAGAAAGGAGAGAGGGGGAAAAGAAAGGAGGGAGGAAGGAAGGGAGGAAGAAAAGGAGGGAAGGAGGTGGGAGGGAGGGAGGAAGGAAGGGAAGGAGGTGGGGGGAGGAAAGGAGGAAGGAAGGAAGGAAGGAAGGAAGGAAGGAAGGAAGGAAGGAAGGGAAAACTCAAGGAAAGGAAATTCCTGAATCGGGTTCTGGAAACTCCAAGGACAGCCTAATGAACCAGAAAGTCCTGTCATCTTACAGGGCATGAGATTGCTGTCCCGGAAGCCAGGGTCACTGGTGTTAATGTGAGCACTGTCCGTGTACGCTTTGATATTGTCATCAATATACCAGCTTTGGTTTTCATCGATTATAGACAGCAGCAGGACGAAAGATTTATCGACGCCTTTTTCCCTGTCTCCAATCAGTGTGCCTGAAACAAAGCAAAGCGAAACAGTCGCTCTCTGCCGTTATTCTTTTTGCCACAGGAGACCAGTGATTTCCCAGAAGTCATTGAAAACATCCAAGTCAGATTTGCACCGTCACAGACAGAACTTTAAAGCAGAGAGCCAGCACAGAGCCTTCCCGTCCGCTCCCTCGGTGTGCGGGAGAAACTGAACTTCCCCGAGGCTCCACCACCCCCTGCCGACCTACCTGCGTCTTTGGGCTTGAACCCGAGCCCTGGACTCAGCATCGCCACCCAGCGCCCAAATGGCAACTCCATCCTCCACTTAGAGACAGGGAGGTCAGGGCCAGAAAAAGAAATTTTCTTTCTCTTTTATCAAACACATTTAAGTTAGCAGAAAAAGAAAAATTATTGGGTGGCAAAACTCAACTAGCGTCATGGAGGGGAACCCTGACTTTGGGGCCACAGGGGCGTGTCCCAGGCGTTACCTCTTTTACAGATTATTAACGGGCCGATAAGTCCGGAAGCCAAGTCGCTCGTGGTCTCCAAGTGGGAGTGGTAAATCCTGGTCACACAGTTACTGTCGCTGGGGCCAGGCCCCTGTTTTTCCTCCACAAACCACAAGTAAGTGTACTGTGCCCCTGGGTCCAGGCGGTCATCCTCTCTCTGCGAGCCCGAGGTATTGTCGGGGTAGAGAGCACCTGGAAAATGGAATTTGCGCGGGCCCTGAACAGGCAGACCACATGGCTTCTTTATCGGTTAGGCTGTGATGCAGGTTCATTTCTCCTCTTTACAGAATAAAGCGTGCATTTCCCACCGCTTTTCTCCTGCCTACCCCGCCCCTGTCTCTCTGAGAGAGTTTCCTGTCCCCATCTCTCTGAGAGACAATCTCCTGCCCCCATCTGCCTGAGAGACAGTCTCCTGCCCCCATCTGCCTGAGAGACAGTCTCCAGCCCCCATCTGCCTGAGAGACAGTCTCCAGCCCCCATCTGCCTGAGAGACAGTCTCTCGCCCCATCTGCCTGAGAGATAGTCTCCTGGCCCCCTGCCTGTCTGAGAGACAGTCTCCTAGCCTCGTCTGCCTGAGAGACAGTCTTCTGCCACCATCTGCCTGAGAGACAGTCTCCTGGCCCTCTGACTGTCTGAGAGACAGTTTCCTGTCCCCATCTGC